GTTGCCAAGACAAAAGTGGCCCCGGTAAAATTCACGAAATGATTCTTGTTTCAACTATGATGATGATGACTTTTATTATTATTGACTACAATGACAAAGCTAAACAAACAAATATCGGTCATAGATTCTAACAATTTAAATCAATCAATAAATCATGATCTGAGTTTTAAAAGGGGTTAACAGAGCTGTATCCTCCCTTGAAGGGGTACATCGGTTGTAAAAAATTAATAATGATTTCAATTTTCTTTAGTTTAAGCAGGAGCCGATTGGTAATTACTACTTATCTGCTCTTGATTTGAGAAAACTCTCATCATCTTAAATAAAAAAAAACTCCAAAAAATTATCCAGAAAATGTAGAAATACAGAGAGAAATCAGTAGTTCTATTATTATTGTTACGGTCCATTATTGTATGGAATATGATGCTAACGCTAAGAATAGAATGCTTGTCAAAACTTTATCGACGAACATTCAATCACGTAGCAGGTCTCTATAGAGGCAGCAGGTTTTAGTCGAAATCCTTATCGCATTGTCTTCTAAGCCTTTTAATAAACTTTACGGCTTGATTTTCAGTTAACTCGAACGCGCTCGATCCTCATCTTTATCCTATTAAACTAACAGCTCACACTGAAAGTAAGCTTGAAAACTGACTAACTTTCAGTCCAAAAGTGAGAAGAAACAACTAGGGTTTGATCAAAATTTACTACAGCCTAATGTATTTGCATTACCTTTTTTAAAAGTTCTGATTTCAATCAATATAATACTCTTGGTCGGACGCTGGTTACGTTTACAAATTTTGTACTCACCATTGCACTTCAGAACCGGTACGAAGAGTGATACAAGAAGAAACAAATTACTTTTAACTATAGCCATTTAACGTAATATTTTCCCTAAAATAAGGTCGAAGACTTCCAGAACTGTTTAGTAATCAGTGTGAAATATATTAGAATAATAACCTTTAAGTCAATATATTCGTTTACGTAATGAGAAAATTATATAGATGTCGATCATTTTTAAAACATGCATTAGCGTAATATTTTAACTTCCACTGAAGAATGTTTTCTTTTGTCATTAAACAACTTATTAATTGTACAAAAAATCACCGACAAACTTTCGTAAATTTGTTTCGGGTGTAGTTTTGGTTCAAGTTTGGTGCTTTATTAGTAATAGCATGGAAACTAGACCATGCGTTAGTGCTTGAAACAAGCTTTGAAAATTGGCAATTTTACTAGGCCGATATTGTAATCAACATTTCCTGAAAGTTTGTAGCTTTTGATGGAAGCGACTGATAAAAGTAATTACTTCATGACAGAGAAACCCCCAGAAGCTTTTATTGATTTAATTTTGTCACTACAAATTGCTGCTAACAACAGGACGTGCTGTAATATCAAACAAATGTTTGCTTTTGGTTCTGTTCACTAGTGGTCGATCTTGATCTTAACTGTCAATTCACCTGTTGTTTTTCCTCTTAATATAAATATTCCATAGTAGGCTCGGACTGCACTTCATTAGGAGCCCAGCCTGGGCCTAAAAAAAGGTTCCATAACACAGCAGGAAAAAAATGACTGATGTATGAATGGTCAGTGGCCAGGGAAATCCTCTATAAAACAAACACAACAAAAAGTGCGGGTAGAACATGGGAAACCTGGGAAGGAAACAAGCCTAAACTTCCATGACTCATCTTACATAAGGTCAAATCGAATGAGTCGAATGAACGATGTATAGACTTTGTCAGGCCCAAAAGCGAAGCTTCCATTTATGTACTGTTAGTTATAAGCTTATGTTAAAAGCAATAAAGTTTATTGATTAATAAACTTAAAGCCCCCACAAAGAAATCAGCAAGTCTATACTTATTTTTAATCCTTTTTTAACGAAAGCACAGAGGTACATGGATCGCGACCGCCATCTTGAAAGCAATTGAAATATAGTCAACTTTCTGTCAGTTTCAACGTCCAACATGGCGTGAAAAAAAAAAAGTATCATTGTTCGCACTGCTATTTAGTAAATACGCCTGGTTTGCGGGCTAAACTTACGAACCCGTTGAGGGAGTGGTTGGGTATCCCTCGAATTTTCCTGAATTAAAACGAGAAAAAAGCTCTTTCATTCTGAAGTAAAAAGCAAAAAAATATCATAAATCAAGTTCTATCACAGTAGTAGGCTTGGAAAAGAAGTCTCGCCCAAACTATATCACCGAATCCCCCACCACACCCCTTTGCAAAGTTATTCATCGTTAGCTCTTTGATGCTCTTACTTTGATGCTAAAATTATTTCAGTCTTAGCAAGAGAGAATAAAGCTCCCATCTTGGTCTCAAGGTTTACCGCTTTATAGGTGAAACTGTTAGATCAATTTTTGATTAAGGATGAACTTCTCTCTTAAAGAAAAATAATATTCCAAGGACCTGAGATTTTCACAAAGCATTTGTCATGGAACCTGATACAAAATATAGAAGTACAGAAAAGGAGGAACACGCTCACTACGTCGGAGCCAAGTCGGATCGAGCT